AAGAAAGCACGCGAAAATCGCGGTTGCTGCGGTTCTTGCATTCCTCTGCGGTTTGCTCGTCAATAGCGCGGTACTAGACATATGCTCAGAAAAATGGTTGCAGGGATCTAATTTTTCATGGTATCATCTTCAGATTTGAAATAGAAACTCATGAGACATGTGACTTTCAACCCATTACTTTTCTGGATTGTTCCAGGACTGATTTCATGTATTTTTATATGAAATAAAAAAACAATTCAGTGTGATACAATTTTTTTCAAGGCACTTCAGTGTCTATAACTTTTTATCTTTTTGAGCATTATCAACTCTGGATGATGGATAGCCCAAAGGGTCTTCTTTCCAAAGACACCAAAATTGTGTGTGTAGCACATTGTTGTCAGGAACTGTTACCATTTTAAGTTAGGTAGGTCATTTTCAGCTGTGAGTCCCAAAATGGGGGGGTGCAGGTTAACAGGTTAAATTATCTATTTGAATGTTTTAACATAGGCCTATAGGCTACTGTATTCCTGGATCAAAGCTGAAATTTCTGCATCATTACTCCAGTCTTCAGTGTCACATGATCCTTCAGAAATCATTCTAATATGCTGATTTGATGCTCTAGAAGCATTTCTCATTATTATCAATGTTGAAAACATTTGTGCTGCTTAATGTTTTTGAGGAAACTAGGGCTGCAACTAACGATTATTTTGATAATCGATTAGTTGGTCGATTATTTTTCGATGATTCTGATTTTTGCAAAAGATTTTTATTTTATTGACAAAAACACACTATTCCACATTCTGCCCAATGTCCTTCAAACAAACGTACCAACTGAATGCTATGAAAACATACAGTGCTTAACAATTTGTTAGACCACTTACCATAATAAAGAGAAAACACATTTTAGGAATTTTAGGAATCTGTCAAAAAATTGTTTAAATCAAAAAATGTTATTGTCATTTATTGGGCAAATAAACTTAAACAACTAAATAGTATTTATTCACATAAAAAAGGCGTCCTATGCCCTTCATAACAGCTTGCATTCTTGCTGGCATTGTTTATGTACTTTTTAACTGTAATTGGGTATCTGAAAAAAAAAAACACTATAAAGCTCTCTGCCTTTCATAGATAACAGCAACAATTATATTATAGCATTAGAAATAGCCTACTACTGTTACTAAATAGCTTACGCATATTGAAGGACTAACGAATACAGAAAGTTAAAAAATGATTTTGGTAATCACCAGTACTGTTAGTTTAGAGCAGCAGTGGCACAAACCATAATTTGTTAAAAACCTTACATAAATTTGTTTTAATAAATTTGTTAAGCATTGTATAGTGAATATAGTTTAAATCTCTGCATTAAAAATTAAAATAATAATAAAGATGATAAAGACGAATAAAATCACAAACTCAGTT